TAGTGTGTCAACTCATTTGATTTATAAGTAACTGCAATGGAAACCCCTGTTAAAGGACATGTCCCTTGACTGATATTGAACCTAGCTGCTGCACAAATTTTTCGCAAATTAGGCCCGCATTATATAATTTTGGCTGGAATTAACTTTTTAATCTTTTCATTCCTAAAATAAAAATTTTTAGAGAAATAGATTCGTGCAATAATAAAATTAGCTCAGGAACATTTTTCACTTAATGGGTAGCCACGATTTTATTAGTAAAATTTTGAGTAATTTTGGCTTAAATTGTTGATTATCGCCATTGATCAATCAAAATCGAGGATTAACTATACATTTTTTATGCAGCAGCTAGATTTAATCTTTCTGATTAGGAGACCCAGTAATAGATTCGTGTTCATCACATCACATGATTAGTAAGCAAATGACATAATTGTGTGATTTCATATGATGTGATTATTACTGGATCTATTGATCTTTAAGTATATTATTAATAATTATGTCATATTGTAATATTATTATTTTGTTGTAATTCTTCTGCTAAACCTTTTTTGTTAGTTAAGTATTCTCCAAAGTCTTTAATTTTTTCTATTCGTAATTCTAAAATTTTGTCTTCTAATTGGGAATTATGCTCTTGGAGAGCAGCAACTTGGGCTTGCAGTTCTTCTTTCCTTTGATTATTTTTAATATAAAGAAAAAAAAATATAAATTATATTTCGCTACAACCGGCCTAAGAATATCAATATTTAATTACAGCTATTTTTATAAATTCTGAGAGATATGAGTAAAAATCTCTAGTTGAAATATAGTGATTATTAAAAATTAGATGATATGAGTAATTGGGTTATAATCAGATACATACGTATATACATACTAAAAATTTGTAAATAATCAGATTACAATCATGCATATACATGAAAAATTTTAATCAGGTATAAAATTTATAAGTAATTAGGTTATAATTAGATACATATGTACAAAAGTTTATAAGCATCAGGTTACAATTAGATACAAATTTATGAGTAAATTTATAAGCAATTTATAAGCAATTCAATATCAAACTTACAACCTCTGATTAAAAAATCACTTTTATTCTCAATATTCACACTATATCATATAAATGATTGGCTCAAATTATATTTAACCTAATCACTCACACTAAATCATCATGAAATTAGAGATCTTCACCTATATAATAGCTGTTTTTATAATTCCTGAGACACCTGTAAAAAAAAATTAGCCAAATGATTTTTGGCTGATTAGGTTAATTTATTATTTCAGCATAATAGATTCATATTATACAAATTACAATTTTACATTACATATAATATATATTATACATAATGTTACGTAAGTTTCAGAAAATTGCATTTCATGTAATTTTTATATGACATATATAAAACTCCAGATTTACAAAATTCAGCAACATTTTTGCATTATTTGATTTAATGTACAATCCTAATTATAACTTCTCTAATGTGTGTTTGTATATACCAATTTTTATTGAATCTATTATGTTGAAATAGTAAATTAACCTAATCAGTAGAAAATTATTCAGCTAATTTTTTACAGCTGTCCCCATACGGATAAAAATTTTTAATAGAATTGTTGTGATTATTAGGATTAAGTGATATATGTAATGATTTATTAATGATTTATAAATATTATAATCAATTTTATAACATTTTACTACTTAGAAAAGTAATTGGCCAATTAAATACTATGGTGATTTATAATTATTATGTGGTTTCATGAATGGTTTCATAAGCGATTCATAAAAGGATTAATAGTTAAGGCAAGCAATTGATCAATCAAATAAAATTTTACAATTCAATTTTACTGGAGATCCAGAAATATCAATTATATTTTACCAGAAATCATGGAATATCACATAAATGATTAGATTTAATTTTATAAAATATTATCATTAATTTTTAATAATTGCCAAATTGAAAAATCCACCTGCATGTTTTCTAGACTATCACATAACATCTGGAGCACAGCTAGTACCCATTTTTAGGTTGCATCACAACGTACATATGTTGTAACTTTTAAATTAATAAAGTAGAACTTCATTATTGACCTGTATTAAAAAACTTGCTAACATTAATATCGGATGATAATATTATATATTAATTTTTTGTTTAAATACTTGCTCATATTTAATGCTAATGTATACATTAACATCTTTTTTTTTTTTTTTTTTTTTTTTTTTTTTTTATATATTGGCAGCCTCGCCAATATCTTTATTAGATCAAAGCATATATATATACATATATTTAAACTATCTAAGTTATAGATCCGACATCACTCAGC